TGAAGGACTTCTACGGAACCGAGCACGGAATGCTCATCAAGTAGCGATAATGTAACGGTCATTAGATAAGTACGCCTAGACAGCAAACGCACGCCGCTCACTTGTTCAATGCCTATACTGGCAACTGACTAGGCGGGACACAAAACTTTATGACCTTGCTACGAAATACTTCCCGCCTTTTTCCTGCAACACTTGGCTGCATGACGCGATATACAAACAGGAAATTTTCGTGAATCACCTTGTACATAAGTCGGTATCCCGCATTTCTCGTGTATATTGTTTTCGTATTAAGCTTTCAAGTTGTTGTAGGGGAGAGTTCACCTCTTAATTCTAGTACGCACATGAAATTCTTTTCACGCGTTATTTTCGTCTAAAATAATTTCATGTTTGGTATCTCATGATTGGCTCTCGCGCATTTCCCGGATGCCTTGAAATATCCAGGCGTCTTGTTGGATTTAAGTCCACTCTGAAATTGTCATCGGGAACTTTGGATGTAGTCGATTGGCACCTGCATGCTGCGAGTCCAAGGATATCTTCCATTCCCAAAGCGACGGGAAATAAGCCATCTAGGCGTCATCTTATTTGATTGTCCTCTGCAGCGCGACGATGCAGAAAAAAAGATGTCGACATATCCGAAAGGCTCGATGCTATCGGCAGATCTTCAAAGGGTCACTCAATTCCTTTTGGGCCGGCGATCTCGCTTACTGTACCAAAAGTTTCTTTGCCTTTGGGGTTGTGTAAGGGCCTCTGAGCAATGAATCTTAGTTACTTTCCTTCGAGCTGTCTGTTGCCCATGCATTATATTGAAACACAACAGCGCTTCTATGTGATATAATTTCATTTTACTCATTCCTGAACCGAAACTTGACTTCTTATTTACACATGAAAAATTGCAATTGCAGGATCTACGGGGATTTTATTTGTTTCCGTTTACGTTAAATCTTTTTTTTTTTTGTGAGCTTCGGAAGCACTATCGATTCGGTGAACGTAACACGATTGGCAATATAGCGAAAAAATATGAGAGAGTAAATCGACGGCTACTCGAGTCGGAGCTTGCAACCCACAGAACTTTCGGTATCTCGAACAGTTAGGGCTGTAGAAATAAGAGCCGAAAACTTACTTATTTAAGGCCGAACATTGGTGATCTTGCGGAATAGAGGGCCAGGATTTAACTTCCACGACTTCCCGGTATCCAATATCAAACTTTTCAATTCGAGTCAAATCTTTTCTGCTGTTCACTGCAAATTGAGCAGACAAAAACTGCATAGGGACTTACATACTTACATGTGAAGGAGTAGGCGGAATATAGGCGATATCAATGTTATGTGATTCATATTTTCATCCCACAATGTATGTACAATGTGCATGTGTACTGATTTGTGTTAGTGATAAATCTTGAATTTTTGAGGAGAGGTAAGGTAGTTACACACTATTATCAAAAGGTAACATTTCTGCACTCTTGCGTGTTAATTCAGAATAAAATGCTTTTCCGCTTGGTATGCGAATCAAGTAATCCATTTAGTTAATTATCCATGCGCACATCGCAATAATGTACGTTAAGGACACTGAACGCTAATTTTGAATGAGACAATGTTGGAATACGATAAAAATACCTTAATCGAAATAATAATATAAACAAAGCTGGTGAAAGGTGACGCTTTTTTGCAATTTTTTTGAAACGGTGTTCTCTCTAACTTGGCTGATTATTAATCAGAAAAGTCCGATGAGGGACTAACGTTTAATGTAGCTGTAATAACTTGGTAGTCATCAGAAGAGGGCATAATAATCGATGCCACTGCATAATTCCTAAATCAAACTTTTCATATTTATTTACCTTTTGCGAAATAAATTTTACTATAGTAATAGTACTTCTTATGCAATTAATATAAGGTATCAGAGATGACCGTGTATTGGTTTCAAATAATCTTTCAAGCATACGATACAACCCTCGTTTCCTCTTCGCTGAAATTTCAACTCCTGTGTTAGTATTTACTAGAAATTCAGAAATATTCTTGATGCTTCCTGTCTCATTTCGAGATGATGTAGAAGGCCTTGAAAAAAGCGCATGTCTTCGATCACGTCAAACAAATTTCAATTTCAGGCTTCAGTTCAGCCCGATGGCCTTAAGTTGATCACCGGCATGATAAGAGTATCAAGGCGCTCGGATATTGCAGGTTACGATAAAGTCTCGACGTGTACTCGCAAGGTTCCGTCCAATATGTCTATAGACTTTCGTTCCTTCGATACGACAATGGAAAATTTTTAATTTATTGGAAATCTTCTCGCCAATATCAAGATTCATGAATTTTAATTATAAGATTTTTCGGTATTGTATGGTTGGAATCAGGAAAAAAAATCTTGGACAAAATTTCTGTGCATTTTCATACGTTTTCTTTGAACTATTTATTTATTTATCTATTATCACGGCTTTTAAAATACGTAACTCATAGTCAGTTGATTTTTTTTTTGTCATGGCAATGGTGCGGCAATACCATTTGGTTTGTCCCGTGCCACGTCCTTAAAAATATTCTTACAAATTTTCAACTTTACCAGAATTTTAAACACTCTAGCTTGATTTTTGATCGTTTCTATTAATATTTAGCAAGACACGTAAAAGCACATGGACATGTTTTTTGGAATGGACAGTGAAGAAAGACACATTTTTTATTCGAAAAATTAGTTAATCCAGATAACCATGATTGCAACTACACGTCATTTTCATAAAAAAAGTATTTGGAATATAAAAAAGTTGTACTCGCCATGTCCGTCCGTCCGTCTGTCCGTGACCTCAAGTTTTCGTCAACGAGAAAATGCGCTCTCTATCACTCGCTGCAGTGAGTACTGAGTTATATTTTTTCCAATTTATTCGGAAATCTCTAACATGTTCCATAACATGTCATAGGGTATGAATGGTCTTTGTATTCCAACGAGCTTCGTAGGAGTAGACCACAAAGCAAGCTATTACCACCACACTGCCGTAAAAGGTTTCCAGGATAGAAGCTACTATCCGGTCCGCTGTTCTCGGAATACCTTTTTACTTCCAGACCCAATTCTTTGAGGACGTGACCAGATTCACCACAGGATATAGCAAGGATTTGATGGAGATAAATGACTTCTCAATCCTGCCGCAGAATTCTATAGGGTTTAAGCCTATGGATCATTAAAGCCTTCTTGTGATTACATTGGTTTCAGGCTGCGAGAGTCAAAATTACTGGTCATGTGTGGAATTACACTAAATTGTTTAGAGTATAAATTATAAAAAGTGTTTTTTAGAATGCTTTGTGACGTCATCCAGATATGATGCAGTTTTTGTGTAGTCGCTAATTTTCTCAAGAAAAAAATTACGATGGCGAAAACAAAAAGAAGAAAAAAATATAACTCAGTACTCACTGCAGTGAGTGACAGAAAGCGCATTTTTTCGTCGACGAAAACATGAAGTCACGGAAGGACAGACAAACGGACGGACAGACGGACATGGCGAGCACAATAGTTCATTTTTTCATAAATGAGAAAATGCGCTAAAAAAACAAACTTTGATGACAGTTACGCGAAAATTATCCCAATAATTTGCCAACTTTTCGAGGGTTCATTTAGCTATTTCGAATTTATTGACTTTCGAAGAAATTTACAGGCTTCAACTGCTTGCAATAAAATTTGTTAGTAGAGATGGATTTTTCTTGAAAAGTCTACCTGTCAGTCTGTTCAGCTCAATTTATAGTTTTCAATTTTTTTTAAGATTGTTCGCTATTAAATTTGAAAAAAAATTGTCATGGTTTCTTCTTGCTGCGAATTCGAACCCAAGAACTTTTTTTCGAAGCCATTTGAACTTTTTATTTGCATTGACGGATAAGTGTATGCGACATTTAAGTTCAAATTGCCCTTGGATCACAGCCGCTTTGCAATTCGACGCGCCAGATAATCCGGAATGTTCGCACCGAGTCACTAAGATCTTCCGCATCTGCAATGAGCCTGCGAAAAGCGAAAGCGACATCCACGTCCAGCGTTTGTGTCCGAGCTAAATAGATTTAGGTTCTCGTCGTCAAGCCACCTACGGGAGCTAATAAAAAAAGAGCTTTAGATCAAAAAGTTGAAGGCCATTGGCGGGATATTTCCACATACAGGAGCTTGAAAAGAAAAAAATAAGAGCTTTAGATCGCAACGTTGAAGGCCATTGGCAGGAGATTTCATTTCTTTGAGTTTACTTCCAATTAAGTGCGGTTCATATACCAGCCTTGTTTTTCCAAATTTCACGTTCTCACTTTAATTTGACGGTTTTCGTAACTGCTTCCGTTGTAACAATTCGATTACGCATTTTTAGCAACAGAATGTATGAAGAATGTGACATCAATGACGAGACTTTGAAACGTGTAAATGCATTGGTATGGCATTTAACCGCATGTACAAAATAGACAACCATCATTGGAAACATTTTTGAATTCTAAACGTTTGTCCTTTGCGTATTGAATTCTATATAATTGAACTATAATTCAAAATTAATCTCCAATTGCACAGTTTATAGCTCAAAGTCGGATATCACGCAGGTAGTCTGTGCTACTGAAGCATTTCTCGTGAATTCAATTTTAACTTGAATTCAACTCCCGTATTATTGCGATTACTGCATCAGCCGTTTGAAATCGGAGTGCTGTGATTTACCAGCATTAATTAAACGCAATAATAATACCTTAGTGTTCAGGTCTTTCAGTCCATAGATTTTTTTAACTCAATTCAACAGATTTTTTGCTTAAGAATTCAACATTGAATAAATTATTTAATAGAACTAGTTGTATTATATTTTCTGGATGTAACTGATTGGATGCCACGACAAATTCTTTAGGTACGTTTCAACACATAGCTTAGCTACATATATAAGGAGATTTGGAAGAAAATGTACAGGCTGATTATTATACATCTTCTTTAGTCAGTATTTGAATTCTAAAGTTTATTGTTTTGATCGACGAAGATCTCGTACGTTAATGCATGATGGATAAATAAAGCTTCAGTTCATGGCCAAGAATCCACTTAAACATTTTTGTCGACATTTCTCTAATCACCACGATTCTCTTATACAGAAAAAGACAATAACTCAAGAACAATTCAGATTCTTTTTTAGTTTCGTTAAATGAATACTGAACAACATTCCACATTGTTGGTTCTTTGGGCATAAAACAATTGCACTAAATTAAACAATAATTTTTTATGGTTACCGTTTAAATCAAGTAATTAGCAGGCCAGAAAATTCATCTCACATTAGCATACTGGCATAATTAATTCCGATGTTTTCATCAAAAACTTCTAAAATTGACCGAGAAGTTGGGAAACGTAAAAAATTAAATTACATAACAAGCAGAAAATAAATGCAATTATCCTATGTTTACTCCTATACACATTAAAAATTTATGTACAGAATATTAGACGGGGAAGTTATATATAGGGTAGATCACTCGAAGCACGAAGCAGAAGCCCATCGATGATACAGACTGAAGCAACACGGAAAACAAGTAAAAATTCGGGAGCTGCTAAATGACAAAAAGTTTCTGAAGTATTTCATAGAACGAAGAACATCCAAGGTGTTGTTGAAAATGGAAAAAACGAAAATGTGTAACAATTCGAGCTGCAGAATGAAAAGAAACAAAAAAATTCGAGCTGCAGAATGAAAAGAAACTTCACCAGCACTTTTCGAAAAACAATGACGAGAAACATGCAGGTTGAAAAATCGAGAATAAAACTTTACGTTAACCCGCAATAGCTCTTTTATTAATGTTAATTACTCTACAATCAAAGTCAAATTCCTTCCAATAACGAGACAGAACCTGAATCTACAAAAAATTCATCAGGACACCAAGGAAAGATGTTCTAAAAGTTGAGAATAATCCGACTACGCAAATTGCATACCATCGACATAATCGCTCATAACTTTTATCTTTAAAGAAATCATAGCTCTGAAATTTTGAGCCCCCAAAAACTACAATCCATTACAAAAGCGGTAAGACCAGGATAACATGCAATAGTAAATCCAGGAAAGAATTTCGGTCCCAATAGTATAATGAAATCCATTCGTGTAACAAAAATGTTAGATTTATTTTGCCGATCTGAATATCTGATCGGCAATTCGTAACTCAAATGAAACAAAATACATTTAATAGAAATATTCCGTTACCGACAAAATGTAGCACTACCACAAATTTGGGCGTCGCAATTTCAACTTTTCTGATCGAATTCTCGGACAGCAGAGAAAGACGAGCGACCACCTAAGGATGAGTGGAAGGGCAAATGTAAAATTCAGGCTATATGAACACGAAGAATGGAAGAAAACGCGAATCTATAACACTCAATATAAAGTACAAAATTAATAAGTCGCACAACTAAAGATACCAAAGCCGATTTACATCTAGTTTATACAAATTACCGAGTAAACGATTCTATCAATTTTTTAGTATAAATAAAGAAGAAGCGCCAACTCAAAAAAAGTGCTACGAAGCTTCGTTCACGGCTTCTCCGACTGTTAAACAACGCTGCTTTACAATTGATCCCAATATTATTATAAACTGACGAAAACGTACTGCTTATTACCTTCCTTTAAACTTAGCCTCTTCAACTCTTGTGGACAATTTCATTAAAACCCTTTCAAACTTGTAGACATTAGTACAATAGATGGCAGTTTAACTTCAACATCGAAAAGAAGATGCTACAAAACTTATAGATGTCAGAAGCGACAAGAATTAAAGTAAGCTATACACACGAAGTGGTAGTGAGAGGCAGAGTTTCTTGTACTGTTTCGCCGTCGACTGGTCGGCATCAGGAACAACACCACCTGCAAGTTTGCTGCAACATGGCGGTTCCATACTAACATCAACATGCTATCTTCGTGATGATTTGCTTCGTTTAAAATTCATAGACATATTGTCATGATCCCATGATGGCAGCTTTATGATAGATAATTTTACAGGGGCGCTGTAGCTCAATGTCCGTGAGATGTTCCTTCGGTCATTATAGTTCATTTAGACTTACTAGATTAAAAATAATCAATCAACGTTTTTTATAATCCAGAAATGGCGAGGACAATTAAATTTTTACCAATTACGTAACACCAGACCACACTAGCAATTACATGAAATCAAATATTAGATGCAATTAAACGATGAACAGCATTTATACAAATTTGAATTTCAGGCAGTTCTCAAAAATTCCACACTCGTGAAATTTTCATCCAGGATTCAACGACAAAAGTTCTTTCGAAGTGGCCGTCTGCTTGTTTCCTGTCTCGAAAGAGCACATTAAATGGTCCGCAATACGTACCACAGAAATTGCCACCAGTGGTATAAATAAACTTTTCTTACATCACCAGCAGTTCTCGAACTAACTTTTGGGATAAAAAAAATATAGCTGCACACATAATTAAATATTTAAGGGCGTGGTATAGAAGGGCGTCTCTTATAACCGCTATTGGTCTACCTCTACCTCTACAGTCATTTAATTCTACCCACTGGAAGCTGACTCGAAAAGACACTCATGATGAATATAGGTACGGTCACGCGTCGCAAACTAAATCTTGCAATCAATAATCCAACATGAAACGCTTTTCCAGGAACTTTATCCTTTCTCAGCCGATTGGAAATTCAATCATATGTATATAAAATGCTTGTAATTAACAGGAACAACGTTCTAAAATATTTGGCGGGCTAAGTTATTTCAGAAGAGTGTTATTGCTATTCCAATCAAGTTTTCGCTACTAAGAAATAATTTCTAACAATTTTAGAAAGTACATGGAATGAAACAAATGGAGTGGAAACAAAAAAATTCTCATGATGTAAATTTCGCAGAAATATTAATCCAGGGATTAAATAAATTATTCAACAGGTATTGATATCCCCATTCCTTTACGGACATTTTCAATGCATAAAATTCTTCAGCATCGAAACAATTTTCACATTGATCATTAACATAAATACACCGAATAGATAACTTGGAAAATATAGAATTGATAAACTAGGAAAAAAATTTACAGGTTGAATTTGGACCATTTCTGGGAGTGCGATCGGTCATTCCTGCACAACAAAATTATCGGTTAACTGGAATATTTCTGACAGAATCATTTAGTAAACTCGACTGTAAGTTAGACAATTTTCATTTACAATCCAATGAGTATTTGATTCGTGTTTGTCAATATTAAGTTGTATCGGTGATAAATTTAAGCATTTCAGTCTTCCAAAAATTCTGGTTTTCGTGCAATATTTTGTTTTAAAAAATTCCGTAGGCACAAATTTATTTCAAATGACACGCGTATTCTAAAATTAGGGAAATATCATAGCCACGATGAAGACTGGATGTGCTAAACAAAAGAAGCCCAAGTACCAGTGCCCACCATCCCGTTTGACTTAGAAATAACAAACAAATTATCGCCATTCTCAACATATCCTTTGACTTACGAAACGAATTTTACAAGAAATTCAGAAGCAACTTCCGTTAATATCAGCGAACTATTAAAACCCTAACAATTTCATCTAAACAACAAGGAGAAACGAGCTAGAGGTTTGAACGCTCATCAAATGCCAGGTTTACTTGGAATGAACCAACGAATTTACAGTCCTCGAACCTAAACACGATTTCTAAACGTAATCCTGTTCCAGCGTTAGGTAGATATCTTATCGGGTGTGATAATATCTTCAGTTTAACTAAAAAGTTTAGACGTGCTAATTATTCAATCAGGAAAAAGTAATGTCGGGATTCGGAATAATTCGTGAAAATTCAACGGCATTTCACAGACATCAATGGATAGATTCGAAATTTATACTAACTGATAACTTCAACATCAAACACAAAAACATTGGAATCAGAAGCGGCTTTATGTGCGATTGGCGGTGCTTAGTAATGAACTTACAGATAAATCTGCCTCATGACATCAGCACAAATGACTAGCGCAACAATTGTTAAAAAAGGCACAACTGAAGTTATCTTCTTTATAAGAATATCGAAGTGCGACAACGACTCAATACGAACTTCTCTTGAATGCAACCATTACGTCCATTTTTAATCAGGACTGAGGAAAAATTTCAATGGCATGAATTACCTTAAAAAGGTGGTTGATCTCTTTACCTTCAGAGATACAACCAAATGAAAAAGATCTACATTAAAAAAGCAACATTCTTAACTACCTTCATCCTGAACAACTTTCTTAGCCTGATTATAATCGTAGGAGACAGGATAATAAATGTACCCTATTAAGTTTAGAAGTGGTATAAAAAATCGATATGGTCTAATTGTTTAAGAAACGAATAATATCCTCAAATCACTCAATCTTCTCCTTACGGCTGACGATTTCACTATAACTAGGGGGTGAACAAACGATTTGCAACACCCGATTGATGATTGAGGTCCTCGACATGGAGCTTCATCACAACGAAACAGCAAAGCAAAGTTTGGAGTTTGAGGTTCTTTGCGTTTTCTCTCGTAAAGCAACGACAACATTTTATCGTGAGTTAACCCTGACATGAGGCAACAGCGTTTGTTAGCGTTTCTCATGCGTGGCTACGGTAACAATACATGATGGTTAAACCCAGACAAGAGGTAAAGGTTTTCATCGGCAGATGTTAACACCATTAACCTGGCTACGAGCACGTAAAGGTTTTTGATCTGCCGTACCTAGCTGCCTAACAAGATTACCTGAGGCTTGCTTATGGTTGGGCTAAGACATGTTTGGTGGTTGCTACATAGTTTAGCAGAGCGAAACAAAGATTTGATGGCCATCAAACTGGCAGGCAATCTCAAAAATCTACAAAGTGTCTAAGATACGCTAGGGTGGAGCTAGACTGTACAGTTTCTAATGGTGTGTTCCAGGCCGGGGACATCGAAGGTGACGTTGGTGACTAGCCAGGCGCACACCATCTGTAAACATTCATTTTTGTGAGCGTTATATAATAAATTCATATGAGAACTTAATAAGAAATTCAGCTCTTGAAGCAACTTCCATTTTAATCAATAGAAAAATTAATGCCCACATCCAGTGGGCATTAAATTACGAAAAACAGTCAGCAAAAATTTGTACCGATTTCAAAGCCAATGAAAGCAATCAGATACAATTTAAAAGTTATTCTTTAAAGGAAAACAATCACTCTTGTTTACTTTTGAATTATTCAATATTGAGAAAAATTAGTGGAAAAAACCTGACACATTCAATACTATTTTTGCACTCAAAGCCATGAAAAGTCCTATGTGAGAAAAGAATTAGAAGATTACTTCCATTAAATGTGAAACTTACATTCGCCGAAAGATTAAATGCAAGCTGAAACAATGTATAAAACATGACTCACTTGGAAATTAATGCCATGATGAATTTACTATCAAATGAATGAAGTCTCTCTAGAATAACTCACTGCGGACGGGTCTGTAATAGCAAATAAATTGATATAACCCATGAATAAAGAACGTGATGAAGACAAGACTTTAAGATATGAAAATACATTGATGAATTTATTAGCAAATGAATGAAGTATCTCTAGAATACCGATAACTCACTGCGGACAGGTCTGTAATAGCATATAAATTAAAATAACCCATTAATAACGAACGCAATGACATTAAAATATTAAAATACACTGATGAATAACTAATAGCAAATGAATGAATTATCTCTAGAATAACTCACTGCGGACAATACATCATGGCGAGCGATGAGTAGTACCCCGACGTGAGGCCGAGCACAACGGAGAGCGCCCAGTAGGCCCAGTCCGAGTCTATGAGCACAGGCATGATGCGCTCACTGCTCACGGGGTAATAGTGGCACAGCAGGAACGCTGGATAAGATTTGTCTCTATGTATTTGTCCCCCTAGGATTTGTCTCTGTATATTCCCCGCAGGCTGCGGAATCGCTATTCTAAATTCTCTCGTGGACAGTAACGTGATGTACGGAACGGTGAAATTCGATACATAATTTAATTGCTCTCTCTAGGATGCTGCAATAAAGTCACAGTCACTAGACGAGGATGGATTACGGTAACCAGTGCAGTAATAACCTGAGCTGAGCGCCCGGAAGCATCACGTGAAGATTGCAAGTTTATCAAAGGTAGAAAGGAAAGGAAAAATTATAAATATTCACATTTCGTTAGTCACGAAATATGAAACAAAAATGAAAAGTGTGAAAACATGTGGCCAGGAGAGGGGTACGCAACTATGTCTAGCGCCTGGTAGCTGTAGGATACTACTATAGTACCTGCAGCACTCCGATGCATCGCATGGTCTTTCCAGCTATTTCTCACCTTTTTCCACCCTTTCCTATCTTTTCCTCTTTCAAGGACCACCCCGTAAAATGGATGAAAAAAGATCTTCCACATAATACTAACATAGAAAATCTCATAAGTGACACAAAATCTTATATACTAAATGCCAAGAAAGTGCAGTATAAAAGAAAACAAGTTCCTTTGCGATTAATTTGTAAATCAAGCTGAAAAATTAAAGCATGACGCTAGAAGCGCGAGTGATATTGTAGGAACGAAGTTCTAATCGCAAGACTTTATTCATTATTAGATTAAAAGTAAATCTGCCATTGGAGTCGTTCAAGTGACTTATCCCCATAAAGATTCTTATCGTAAGACTTGAATTATAATAAGATTAAAAGTAAATCTGTCTTTGGAGTCGTTCAAGTGACTTACCCACAAAAGGAACCTAGTCTTAAGACTTGAATTATAATAAGATGAATAGTAAATCAGCCATTGTAGTCGTTCAAGTGACTTACCCACATAAAGATTCTAATCATAAGACTTTAATTATAATAAGATGAAAAGTAAATCTGCCATTGTAGTCGTTCAAGTGACTTACCCACATAAGGATTCTAATCGAAAGACTTGAATTATAATAAGAAATAAGATGAAGAATAAATCTGCCATTGGGGTCGTTCAAGTGACTTACCCACATAAAGAGTCCCGGCAACATGTTCCCGAACATGGCCATTGCATTGAACGTCAAAAAGCAAGTGATCGCCTGGAATAATCTCTTGGGAATGAAGAAGTCTTCTTCAGTCCGGCAAGTGTCTGCACAACGACAACGATATGGTGGAATGTTGTCTGTAATGCTTTAAAACTCTAATTATGTTTCAACACGTTTTCATGAATATAAGTCTTGACTACAAATATATCTTCAGGAAATACTATACAAACAATGTAGAACGGATTAATTCTCATTTTATTCATTTTTTATTTTCTTTCCTTTTCAACTTTTCCCTTTTTTATAAATACATTTCTTATATTTTTGGGACCTGTTATTTGGTATAAAAATCGGACTTTTGTTCTAAAGAATAACATTCAATATCATCAAACCCGACCAATACGGCACATTTATGATTCGTTTGCTACATTTTATCAATGAGTCCCTCATAAATTAAATACTCATTATATTACCTCAACGCAGGAAGGCCCTGTACCAACACTCATAATATATCTTTTATCATTTCAATTTTCAGGAGTGTTATCATGATGGTAGCCAAGATATTTCAGTCCCCCTCAGACATCCTCAGATTATTTATCAGATATCCTCAGATTATCCTCCTCAGACATCCTCAGATTATTTATCAGATATCCTCAGATTATCCCCCTCAGATATCCTCAGATTATCCTCCTCAGACATCCTCAGATTATTTATCAGATATCCTCAGATTATCCTCCTCAGATATCCTCAGATTATCCCCCTCAAACATCGCTCATGTTATTTTTATACACTATACATTGAACCACGTCACTGACCAGCCAGCACTGCAGGGAAGACTGCAAGAGACACAAAGAAGACCATGAAAACGTTCAGGAGTTGCGGGAAAGCTTTCTTGAAAATGTACCAATAAGGCACCCGAACCTTGCCCATGCCTGCCGCTCTCTTGCTCGTCTTCTGGGCCTTCTCGAACTGAGCTTCATGGTACCGGTAAAATCTCTGCAATGTGTCAGAAATTTTAAAGCATTCGAAAAAAAACATTAATAAAATATAACTCAGTACTCACTGCAGTGAGTGACAGAGAGCGCATTTTCTCGTCGACGAAAATGTGAAATCACGGACGGACAGACAGACGGACATGGCGAGCAAAATAGTGCATTTTTTTCATAAATGAGAAAATGCGCTAATAATTGATATGTCAAGTTTAAACACAGTGAAAATTAACGCAAAACACATTTTGAAAATTGCAAATTACAGCAGCACTCAGTTGATTTCATCAATAAATAACTCACACTCAACCGAAGGCATAATAAATAATATTTCAATATAGTTCAGAGAATGAAGCAGTAAATAAAATGCGTACGTTAAGAGGCAGGGCGAAGTATGTGTCGAAGCACGCGAGCAGCACAAACAGCGCTGTGATGAAGAAGTAGATGGCGCTCGTACGGAGGTTGGGGGCCATCTCCAGCGTGATGATGTTGATGACCGAAGTGAACGTTCCGCTGATGTTCTGATGTGGGGACACGCATTTATTTATTTTTTAAGCATGTTTCATTGAAGTTTGAAGACCAGAGAATTCGTTTTATTGACAATTTTCTTATTAGTTTTTTCAATAGATCGAACAAGATTTTTAGTTTGCACGGGTAAATCGAAAATCAGTTATTTTTTTTATTACACCAGGAATATTTATCCGTGAATAGATATCAAGTTTTTGATTAATTGAGTAATTACTTCTTATAAGACACTAATGATGGAGAAGGTTAATATTACTTATATACTCGCCGACAAATCTTAAACTACATGTGAATTTCACTCGAAAATATGGTCAACCATATTCAATCGCTTTTTCTTAAAAACCGGCAGCCCTTCATTTAAAATCTTGACAGCGCGTAATTTTAAAACAGAACTCACGGAGCCCAGGATGACAGCACCCATGTATTTGAAAGGCAGTCGCGCTGCCATGCCGTAAACTGTGTTCTGGTAGATGGCGTTGGCAACTGAAATAAATAGGGAGCAAGCATCGAGTTAATTACTACATAGGATACATGAAACAATTTACTTAAACAATGGGACAAGCTTTAACCCTTACTACTCAAGTGACACCTATCTACATTCACTCTGACCTCAAAAAATGAAGGAAATTTTAATTCTCGAATATAATAAAAATTTATTACAAATTGTGAACTTATTGTTGATGCTATCAATAAATTCTTTATTAGAATCTTTGTCCGTTTAAGGCCCAGTACAAAGTATATATTATACACAGCGTTCCAGGTTTTTTCAACACCCATATCGTCACTTGATGATATCAGTTCTTGAGTCGTTCATTAAGACAACCGAATCTTTGTGCCGCAAAAAAACGGCAGAATGCATACAAAAATTATGAAATATATTAGAATGACTATAAAAATATTATATACAACTTCAAGAGATTCAAAAATATCGCAGGAAGATGACCTAGAAGGAAGATACGAGGAAAAGAACTCGAGAAACAGGAGCTATCACCACATTAACTGCTGACGCCCAAGCTGCTAGGTCTCTAAGTTAACATTGACGCCAGGATATAAAGGTTTATTGCCCAATGTTGTGGTGATGTCGAAATAATGTGCTCAGAAATGCGGGGAACTCGGGGCAGCCAAACGAGTTATTAGTTCACGTGAAACTCTCTAATTAAGATCATTACGAATGAGCCAAGAGACTTCATTGTACTAGATGTTTCTGGTGATAAGTATATAAATAAGAGTAAAAGTGATATTGTTGAAGAATTTGAAAACGGATCCTGGGACGTGGAATCCGATCCTATAGAGAATTAGTATTTTTTGACAAAACGAGAGTGAATAATGACAGGAACGCTTCACTTCATTTAATACGGGATCAAGAATCAAGATATCCACATGATGAAGACTTTGACGAAGCATGCGCACTATGTTTAGGTAATGCGACGGGTGACAATTTTTTACGCGAGACTGCATGTAGAAAATACCTCTAAACATCATTGTAAACAGTGAAAAGGTATTATGAAAATTAAAATTTTCCAGATGCACTGTAGGTACCTCATAAAATAAAACTCATGGTTAACATTGGAAAATAAATAAAATAACAGGTTTTCGGTACTAATCAACCTTTTTCAGTTCCACATGATGAATAGAAAGTAATAAATTCTGAATTAATAACAAAAGAGATCCAATATTTTATTATTAAGAGATCCAATTTATTAAGAGATCCAAAAAAAAGCGAACAAAAGAAGTCCAATATTGCAATAAGATCGAACTAAAAGGCAATAATAACGCACTGTTGATGAAGACGATGGAGACCATCGTGACCCAGAAGAATTCGCCGTCCCAGCCACTGGAGTCGACCATGGCCAGCACGACCGTGACGATGACTAGGGCCACCTCTACCAGTATGCCGCCTACGATGCGTGTAGTGATGTTCCCCCTGACACAATACAACACTTAATTATTACTCAAATTGAATGTTGTTATTAAACATATACCTATTACTGATACAATGAATGTTATTATTAAACATATACCTATTTACCTATTACTGATTACAATGAATGTTATTATTAAACATATAACAGGTTTACCTGTTATATACCTGTTACTGATTACAATGAATGTTATTATTAAACATATACCTATTACTGATAACAATGAATGTTATTACTAAACCTTTACGTACCTATTACTGATTACAATGAATATTATTAAACATATACCTATTATTGATTACAATGAATGTTATTATTAAACATATACCTATTACTGATTAGAATGAATGTTATTATTAAACATATACCTATTACTGATACAGTGAATGTTATTATTAAACATATACCTATTACAGACTACAATAGGGAAAAAGTAACTAACATAATTTGTCGTCTAAAATCTACCTTCCAAGTCCGTGTCCGATTCAATTGATTCAAGCAATTCAACATACGTTCACAAATTAAATTTATTCTTTGAACAGAAAATATGCGAAGAAAAACGCAGTCAGGAAAGTGTTACCCGCAGTCTTTTGATCGACATCGATATCTTATCCTTCGGAAACCTGAATTTTAGATGAAAATGAAACGATCGAAATTTCCACATCACTTTTGCTGATATCATAGATAGTAGAATTTACTTCAAGTGAGAATTATTTGCTTCAAAATCAGTTGAAGAACTGAGAAGGTACAGGTTGCCCAGAACCTAGCCAGAAAATAAGGTAAGAAACTGATGCGACAGACCCACAAGTGGGGCGGAAAACCCTAACTTTAAACTGCCTCATTTTCCTTTCTTGATGACAGCAAAACGGCTTCCATAAAATGCGACCAACAAGAAATTTCACATCTCTATAATAGTTCTTCTCCACGAGAAAAACAAGCGGGCGCCAAGAAAATAGAAGATTTTGTCCATAAAGCGCAAAAGTTTTAAAATGGAAGTTTGGTAAGAGATGGCGTGTGAGTCGTGGACATGGCGCCATGGAAACAATGGAGCGACCAAACAATTTAGTAATTGCTTGTATCCAGCACAGGCGAGCTAGATAAAAGCATATTAAAGGAAAACCATAACAAATAATAAGTCTTTCGTGGCTTTTCTGAAAATTAGTCTTTCAACGTTTTTTTCTGAAAATTGTTCGAACGCTAATAAACTTTGATAATATTTCAACATTTGAAAATAAAATTTAACATATCAAAAGATGCACAAGGTTAAAAAGTTCTGAAGGAAAACCATACTAAATAATTAGTCTTTCATGGCTTTTCTTAAAAATTAGTCTCTCAACGTTTTTTTCTGAAAATTTTTCGAACGCTAATAAACTTTGATAATATTTTAACATGTGACCATAAATTTTACCATATCAAAAGGTGCACAAGTTTAAAAAGTTCTATAAAATCCTGATGCTAAACATACAAAAGTAACAGCAATAGGGGGAAATCTTAATTGCTCAGAATGGAGGAGATAAAAATAAAAAATGAAGAACTCACCCTAACTGGACGAAGATGTTGAGCCAGTTGAAGATAACGTTGGGCAGCTGTGATGCGTAACCAACATAAGGTAAGAAATTTTTCGCGTACTCGGTCCCGTCCAATTTGTATTCGATGAAATACTGAAATAGATGTGTAACAAGAAAATTGAGAAGCACGCTAGAAAACTGCAGTTCAAGTGGGTATCAATTGATACCGGTGGCTTTAAATCTTAAAGAAAAAATTATGCAATGAAGCTACGGCAATACAACGTTATTATCTCCATTTAATATTTTGAACTATGAATATTTCAAAGGCTAATAAAGAATTATCTCTCTGGTACTTCATTGCAAAAAATCAAAATCCCTCATTAGCGTTTGAGGGTAACACGGTTAACAGCATTTTCATAGAATTTAATAAGCTCATTCTTCACAGGCTGTTATTTTACTACAGTCGGTCGACGCTGTTATCCCATTTGACTGATGAGAGCAGGTTCGAGTTCAAATTAAAATAGGGCTAGAGGAAAATCGTGTTTGGCCTAACGTTATCGAAGTTTTATGATCATCAGTAATTCCAACTCGGAAGATTCCAATATTGATCAAGGAATCTTGTCACCCGGTAAAGTTTGGACTTATCAGTCCGAGGGAAGGTGGACGAAGAACCGGCAAGCGTCGCGTAGCGCTTGGCTCGCGGCCAAGAAGAGAATCGTCAATTCAGGCACCGGATGGACATAACAATTTGAGAGCAATTGAGACGCGACGCTTACAGAAAATGTTAAGAAAAGAACTCAATTCTTCATCATAGGCAATATATATCATGCCAAATTCATTGTTCGGAAGTAGTTACTGATTTTTTATAACACAGGAATAATGTTGATACCAAAGAGCGGCTTAAAGTATAAAGTTAACATACGAAGTGTGGATATACTTACAGGGTAAGCTGTGATAAACATATTCCATAGCATGAGCGTGCCAACCCCGTGAAGTGTGAGCGTCAGGAACACCAGACCCAATCTGCAAAATGAAAAAATAAACTTTAATAAGCGTGAACTCGTGTAAAAAATATATGCCAAATTGAGCGAGTATAAGTTAACGAAAAAGAAAAACAGGCATAAAAATTATATCTTTAAAACAGGTTTCCTTGAAGACTACAGAATTTAATTTATTTAAAATTTTATTTTTAGTTTCTAAAATATACCATCCAACAATATTTTTCGTTGGCAGTGGTAAATCAAAAATCACGGTACCGATGGATATTTTAAAATTCGTTAACAACGTTTCGAATGTATCAATTTATCAGCTCCGTATTTAAGTCATTTTCTGTTGAGCAGATTTTGAGAGCTCGTTGTATGAAAGCATGTATTGTGCTTCTTTTGTAGCGCTCTGGGCATTCGCTGGCGGCGTTCAGGGCTCTCCCGGCATCTGTGGGTTTCCGGTATACTTTGGTGACGAACAAATTATTTTTAGCTATAGACGAATAGATAAAAAAAAGGCAAAGTACGATTTTGTCCGAGTTCGTAAGTAAACTTCAAGTCAGAATACATTTCAAAGGTCATTCGTAGATTCCTCAGTTGTTCTTCATCTCAAATGACAAACGAAGAAATCACCGGCCTACCTGCAGTACTATTCAGGTTTTATCTGTCCATTTGAAAGTACTTGATTTTCAATTTCGCACAGATAGTACTCAGCAAAAGTAGGACCAAGAGAACTAACTGCCAATGGCTACGCCATTGGTTTGTCGGTAAATTTTGTCATCGGGAGTCCGAAAAGGTAATTCAGAAGTACAGAGCCGAAGGAAATCCAGGAAAACTGTCTTAGGTATTGGTGGAAACGGTAATGTTGGATGATAATATTCGTGCTTCGCAATGATTTCTAATGTTTCTTCAATTGGGACGACATCAAGTGACGCAAGAAAAGAAAGCCAGGTGGGCGTGCAGCGCGGAGGATCTCTGAGAAGTCTTCTCTAGATTTCCCAGAGATCAATCCATCGTTCACAACAACATTGTAAGCGTAACCAATAATAAAATTAAACAACTGTTCTATTATAAAACGAGAAAATACAGAATCTTGTTATGAACAATAACCCTTGCAAAAAACGGGAGTTTTACCAAGAGACTAATGTAGTCTATGCATTTTCCTGCAATTAAGAAGGTTGCAGACTCCTCCCTAATACGTATATATATGGACTACAGTGGGCTCGCAACTACGACATTAAGCCGATGCCTCACGTGCTACCTTCAGTCTGGTGGACCAAGAAACCACCTGATGGAAGCCCACAACGAGACCATCACTCGTACGGTGCTGGAGGGATGGATGTACCAGAGTCATCGTGCGATGTCCCGACGCTAACCGACTCAAGATGCTGAGGCCCTCGTCATTAAGGATAGGACTCCAGCCATCAACCTTCGAACTACTGGATTTTTTAGAACCTTGAGCCCGTTTTTGGAGTAATTTTGGGTGCTTTAATTCTTGATGATTTTAATATTTTCGTAATTTGGCAATTATTTCAAACCAAATCCTGATTTTTGAGTAGTTTTCTATTTCCATAATTTTGTACTTATGTCGATTCAAATTTCCTCACTCAATGCGTCTCGTAACTTGATGATGAATGATTGATATATTTAAAACGTTGTTCATGATTTAAAAACGTGTAGCGGTACTCAGATGTTCGATTTATCAGTGCAAACCAAAATATAATTCCATATATTGCAAAAAAATTAATAAGAAAAGTGTAAATAAAACAAATTCTCTGGTCTTCAATGAAACCTGCTTAAAAAGGAACAAATTCTGCCAACCTATGCATAGATTATATCGTGCAGGAAATCGCTCAACTTTCAAGAGTTTCCCTGTGTCCTGTGGTGAGCGAGAAGACGTACCAAACCAACTGTCATCAATTTAGTCATACTTAAAATTAAATAATAACGTATGAATATTACGAACGCATTTCCAAAGTAAACGATAAACACGCACCTAAAAAAAAGACGTAGGCCGGTTTATTTCAGGCTAAAAAAAGAGTTGTGAACATTTTCATTTGGTCCATAATTCGTGTGTTGTTTGTTTATGAGCGAGTTGTGCTAACCCGGTTCGCAAGAAAAGGATGACAATTCTCGGAAAAATGATAGGTAACAACTCAAAAATACAAGTAATAACATCGCAGCCAACATATTTTATTAAATTACAAACATAAAAGTTTTGGTTGACGTTGTGTCCTGCATGATTATAATTTAGGCCTGAGTCTGAGTCTGACGAATTTAAAGCCAAATTTAAGCAATTTTTAAGATTTCCTAGTAAAATTTAGATATTTACAAAATAAGACTCAATAGGAAAAGCTGAATGCTTCAGCGTTTCTATAATAGCTTTCCAGGATATAAACAAATGACACAGTCCGCTAATCATCGCGATATCGTGAGAATCCTAATGTGCTATAGTCACGCTAGCAATCACAGACGGCGATTGGTGTGTTGCGTGTATGGGACCTCGTATTCCAGTTGCTAGGTTTGAGGGGTAAATATATAATTGTTCGCCTTTTATGCGAAAACCGAAATTTCTACCTAGATAAATCATTGAATGAAACATAATGTATAAGGCAGAATAAATCAATGAAAAATCTACAATATACGAAATAGTTTCCGTTGTCTCTTTCAAGACTAGATCACATTTAATCCTGGATGTAAATTAATAAAAGCAATGGAAACAAGGAGGAAGCAAACACTACTAACAGTAAGAACGAACATCCGATATGAGAGCTGAACGCAGAATAGTAGCTTGTTATTCGTCCAATGTCCCCACGAGCAATGTAATATTCAAGATGCAATTGAAAATGAAAATATTATTTTCTAGACTCAACACTTCTGTCGTATTATAGCACAATTTATTCGTAATAATTTTATGCTTGCTGACTGCATGGGGTAGAAAAAAATACCTACTAAAATTCCCATTGATACTGTAATTTTGTATCATCGTCTGAACGTCTGCGATTTGTCAGTTGCGTTGCAATCGATACAATACATAAAATCAAAACTTTAGAGTTAATTACCAGTAAACATTCTTCATTGATGCGACGCAGTGAATTCTACGTCAACTCACCTATCAGGTGGTCCGTCATACTTGATTTTCTCCTCTACCTCATCCTGAGTTTTAGGATGCAGGGGCGTCAATTCGAGGCCCTTGCTGGAGCTGTTGGCATCGAGTTCTTCCGGTGGCTCCCAATTTGGGTCGCTGAGGGCTGGATGCCTTAATTTAGGCCTGGGTGATGGAGACCCGCCTGGGGTGTTGACCCGCGACAAATCTTCCACTGACGCGAGTGGAGCGGCGAACGTGTGGTTCTCACCCATATTAATTTATTATAGAATAATATACTATATTAACTCAATGTTGAATATGCGACAAGTCCGATGATCAGGTGAAGATGCTACGTACATCGTCCGTTTCGACACCGTGATTCACTGGGGATGTCACATGAGTTCTCAATGATAGGTATGACACGATCAATTAAAAAAAGTTACATAAAATCGAAGCCGTTGAGAAAGTTGACAATGATGATGATGGTGACTAAGATGATGATGCAGTACAAGGCATCAGCAACTATACTCGATTCCATGAGCGTCAACGATAAGGATTGCCAGTTGAGCCGACAGGGACGCTTCTCTGAGTGCTATAGAACAAACGAGATCCCACGACCACAGCGATTATACTGATTGCCCTCCCGGTCAGATGCAATGATGCCTAAGCGGTCTCTATTAAGACATTAGAGAGGTGAAGAGAGAGATGGCTTTTACACACAGAGCAATCAGCTCAAATAGCCGGACAAACGATAGGTCGGCGCACTGTAACCAAAGATTCACGATCTCAAATGAAGTTTCGCTACATGTAAGATTAACGAGAGCAGGAATAAATCTTGACAACTTTGAAATGAATCTCTCGATTTTTCAATCCAATTTGTTAAACACCGTACAGAGAATGGCTCATTATCTTAAATATTATCGTATTTACCTGATAAAGAGGCTTACGATTTAACAATGTACTGATTGGATGGCAGCGATGATGAAGGCAGTTAATGATCACGTTCATATGAAACACTGGCAGGATTACGTTCACAAAGGCAACTTGATACACAACAACATCAAGCCACGGCGACTTAAGAATAACACTTTTTTCGAAGAACACGCATTCTCTTCAAGGCTTGCACTAATAAAAAATTTTCACAAGGTCGATATTTTTTCATCTAAAAATCACACACAACGTACATATTAGGCTATAGATGATTGGAGGAGTAGACTAAGCGAAAAATCTGCTTGGGAGCAGAGTCAAATGGTTCAGGTCACATTTCAAATAATTTCGACACACTTTAACTTCAATGGCAGTCAGAGAAGGCATAGATTATTTTCCAAGAAAATGTGCAATAAAGGTGAATAACCTGCAAAAGAATGTCGAACAATTAACGTAAACAATCTCCCAAACACCTAGCCATTAACTAATAACGGGTAATAATGCCATCCCAGTGCTAAGAAAATACCAATAAAGTAATGATAACAAAAGTTGCTAGCTACGGTCAGATTGCTCTTCCACTGTTATATTGATAATAATATTGTAATATTGTTTAATGCTAAATTATCTGCGGCTATCACAGCTAACAACATAGCACAACAACCAAAACACGAGCTAAACAGGTGTCTTTTGGCGGCAGCATCGACTAAGACGTTTGAAATTAAAGCCATAAAACCAAAGATAAGCTCTACTTATAAGACAGCAAAGTGATATAAAATCCGCACTGAGTAATAATTGTGAATGTTTTAATTATAAAATATTATTCAGAATTTATAACTAAAGAATGATGGATAACTTTATTAGAGAAGGCACCCGTGGGCGACGTTGATGACCGGCAAAACTGAACTGCGGCAGTGCCGCTGCGAGACCGAGCGAAGCTCCAGGCCGCTCTCAGCGTGCTCTCTTTCTCAGTGACCAAGTTAGAAAGATACCTCAATTTTAATGAAGAAAACGTATGAAAATGCAGCAATCAATGCAACAAATGAACGTACACTCTCGCATAAAATCCTATAGTATGTTCGATGGAAGGGAAATGCGCGTAGTTGATTGTAGTGGAAAAAATAAAGTTTTGTAATAGGAGTACATCCATTCAATGCACATTCAAAGCTCATACCTTTAACTAACTAGTAACAGTTTTGTTTCAGTCGATACCAATGGCGTACTTCTTTTTAAAATTACAGTGAAATGTATTTCACTTACTCGAAAAGACCACGAACGCAGTGCACAATAAAAACGGCAATAAAGAACAAAAACGTATCAGGAGGTTAAGCAACGTTACAAGTAAAACATGCAGGAGCAACAATCAATGAAAGAGTTGAAATCAGATAACGTTTCTAAGCTTCAACTTTCGCCGAAATCGACCTGAATGGGTTGCAGAAATTTCAAAAGGTGGAAGTTAGAAGAAGAGAAATTCTAGCGGGCTCCAAAATAGAGACGTTCTACACAATTACAACGATAACGACTTCATTGCACCTGATAAATAATAACAAGAGAGATGAGCATGTCCTTAATTAAATTGGGCCGTCTATTAAATATCAGATTCCAGTTGAAGTAAGTAATTACAGAAACGTAAAATTTGGACGTAAAGTAAGAAATCAGACAGCCAAAACGTGTGCATGAGAGAGTAAGTGACGAACGCATGCGACTCGTTTGTAATAATATACGTTTAAAAATTATTTTTTAAAGACAACACTTCTAAAAATCCAGTGACTCCAATGTAAAACATACACAATGAAGTTCTAATTTTAATTTCGAATATTGAAAAAATTAATTTTTAAATTATTTTAATACATAAAAGAAATTGAAGATTTAAAATTATTTATTCTGTCAATTGATTCATGCATTGTCTCCGACTTTATGCTCGCAAGTCTGCAAAATTTCAGATAGATTGGAATTTCAGATAGATTAAATATCGATTATATGATTTGTAGCAGACAAAATTATTTTTTCATTTTTTATATTAAAAGAAATTTTAATTTTTAAAATTATTTATTCTGTCAATTGATTCATGCATTGTTTCCAACTCCGCAAGTGTGCAAAATTTCAGAGCGATTGGAGAGGTAGAAGTGTATTAAAAATCGATTATAAGATTTGTAGCAGACAGAAAAACAAAAAGCAGTGAAGTTAAAGAGAAGTGTTGAAAAATGGGTAAAAAATGTGGGAGTTGTCACTTAACTTCGTCAAGTTTTGTATGAACAGAGAAAACGCCTGAAGATGAAATTGTTTAAAATTAAATTCAGGAAAAAACTGCTCGTAAAACGCAACTTTTAAAGAAATTCAAAAAAGCACGAAGACACAGTGATAAATAAAATGAAAATTTTATTCTATTATGCTCCAGTTGAAAATTTAATCTGAATGCTAGAGTGCAAAACATTCTACTCAAGTATATTTTTCCTCGGACTTGTATTGTACGCAAAATGTTTAGAAAATGCGAATAAAAAAATCCCTGGTTTATCACTAGAAATGATTAACATTTCAATGGTAAAACAGTAAAAACTTGGAGTTTGCAGTAAAACTCCAACACTTAAAATCAAACTTGAAATTAGAGCTTTAAAATCTGGACGCATTTTACACGACAAAATATTTTATATATCAACAAGTTTATTCAACGTTAAAACATAATATTTAAATAAAATATTTCATATCAATCCTCTACAGCAGACAGTAGACATGACAGGCTCCCAGCCGAAAATAAGTATACGGGGGCCAACACGCCGCTCTTCGCGGTCGATAACAGCACGATAAGGCGCGGTACAGTCAGACACTGCGAGCTCAACGGTGGGGCGCTCAGGAACAATCCCCCTAGGAGCGCGAAATCCCATGGGACTTCTGACGAGCACAGACACGCGTCAGAAGTCCCCCCTGAGGGGGCGTGGTTCATCACCAGTAATTAACATTTCAATGGTAAAGCAGTGAAAACTTGGAATTTGCAGTAAAACTCAAACACTTAAAATCAAACTTGTAATCATAACTTAAAATCTGGACGCAATGAACTTAACCCAAGACAAAGTGTTGTATATCAACAAGTTTAATCTCATTAGGTATTTTATTTAAAATATTTCATATCAATCCCCTACAACAGACAGTAGACATGACAGGCTCCCAGCCGAAAATAAGCATACGGGGGCCAACACGCCGCTCTTCGCGGTCGATAACAGCACGATAAGGCGCGGTACCTCACAGAGATCCGCTAATTGAAGACTTGAGAGATTTACTGTGCTGTAAATGGCATGCATAACGTCATGCCAAGGATACATGCGCCCAGCTACATGAATTTTCACGGTAAAGCCAATTTTGGAGTGAGGTAAAAGGGTCATTAACTAGGAATAGGCGGTTCTACCTGTTAATATTTTTTAATACCGTATTAATAATACCGTATTTTTTAAGTACATTTTTTAGCGCTAGAAGAGGAAACAAAAAAAGCCAAAAAGTATGGAATTTCTTTTAAAATACGTCAACACATTGTATCTTAGAAACGGGTACAAATAGTAAAAACTATGTCCATGTATGAGTGAATCGAAATTCATTCGTGAATGGAAATAGTTTTAGCCTGCAATTTGAGTTATCAGAAGTCTTCGGAGAACGTACGAAATATTTAAGTACAACAGCAACGACGTCACTTCGTTTTGAAGAATTCAATATTCCATAACAATTCAATAAGGTATAAACCCATTAATTTTCAAAACTCTAAGATATCAGTATCACAATGGGATTAAAAAATAATTATAGCTCTAACGCTTTCACAATAATCTGCTAAAAAAATGAAGAACATAATCGAAGATCATAATTCGGTGCAAATGGTAAAAGTAACAACACAGCCTTTGTGTCTTTGTTCTACGTTGAGTCTGACATGCAGGACGAGACTACAACAGAACGCACTTAATCTTAAAGATATTCAGGGTACACATCAATCCTCGTCAGTCGAGCACGGATCCAACAAAAATGTTTTCCCATTATTTCATGCCTGGAATTCAATGACGCATATATTTAGGATTTAAATTTTCAATTCAAGTAAATTTATTCCAAATTTTGGAATAAATGGTCGATGTCAATCAAGTCTCGATTTCAATACACTAGGAAAAAATTATCTATGAATAACAAGGATTCATCGTGAGGGGATACAAGGCTTATATCACAGATAACTATCACCAAACTTTTCATGGTATGAGTGCCGTATAGATTTATCGATCAACTCGAAGCAGGATCTTGTACCGCCTTAAATCCCTCCCGAACAATGCATATCGAAGCTAAGGGAAGCTCTTAAACTGCAGTCGGAACTTGAGTCATCTTGATGAACTATATGCAACAAGGGATGCGTAGCAACACATCTATAGCAAGTAATCGAGAGGAAAACTTCAGCACTACAACTTATAGAAGAATTTATATATATAAGCCCGAATTTTTTACAAATTCTTCTCGCTGAAATAGATACTGAGTCTCATTTTTGTAGCTGCATCTTTCAAGAAACTTATAGATAATGATAGCATTTTCACGAGCAAGAATATGAATCAATGTCAAACGGCAGCTCATGCCGAAGCTTGTGGCGCGCTGGCAGAGCGCCGCTATAAGCGGCTTTTAACTTCACGCTGGCTTGGCGACGTCTGCTCCAAAAATCTCTTACGGTTGACGAGAGATCAATTCTCTGTCTTCAGCTGCAGTGTCCATATTTCTGCCTTTGAAAGTATCTGAACTCGGTGACTGATCAACAATAATTTTTCTGTGGTTCCTAATTTATGATGGTGATAAGCATAAACAAATAATTTCAGAGAATTGTCAAATTTCATGAATTATAAAATAAAGATGACTTTTCGCGTCATGAAAGTATAGCTACTGAATATCTGTGGTTTCAAAATCTTTCTAACCATTTAGACTTGCGGAGGCTATTTCAAATGCTTTATTCAAACAACACTCAAACGAAATTTAATTTAAACCTGTGATTTCAACAGGAATTGACATTAAAACTTTCAACGGTTTGCGTCAACGGCAGTCAAATCGCAAAAAGAAATAGTGGACAAACTTAGGTAAATTTCAACTGCAGTCCAAATGATTCTTCATTACAGCATTTAAATCGAATTTTGATGCAGTAATGAAGCATCAAATTTTGATGCATTGAGGTACAAGCATACTTGGTACAATGTTAATACATTAATTTTACCAAGAAGCAAAACATTACGAGTCATAAGCAAAAAAATGCTACTTCAGCGAATGCTACGAGCCTTGGTGACTGTGGAGCCAAGACCCGTTCAATATTCAAGACAAGGAAAGGGTTGCCGTTTTACGACATGGAAGTTTGTCCGAGCAAAGTGCGCTGCGATTGGATTTGGTACGTTATGACGCTGTATTAGCATTTTGTTACAGCCCAACATGCAAGC